AATCAGGCTGCTCATGAGGGTAATTGGGTGTGATAGGAAAGCAGAGTAGAGATGTAGTGATTTTTCACTTAGGGGTGAAGATGGTCCTGGCAAGAAATGGCAGCACTCCACTCTCAGAATAAAGCCGCCTTAGTCTGGCATCTTCTGGGAAACAATAGCTTTTGCACGCTGACCACATATGTGCTTCTGAGGGTCTGCTGATTAAAAGCCCTTAACAATTCACCCAGAACTGTACCTTCTATTTAAAAAGGAGATGTAATATAGACATAGATGATTGCAGAGGAAACTGCTTTTCTCAACTATCCATGTAATTTGATTTAGTTCTTTATGAATGCATATAGATGTCCAAGGAATATCAGGTGTGTAAGGAAAACTAACAACGGGAAAAGTTCTCAATACCAAGCTTGATAGAAACAAATATAACTGAGGAACTGAAAGATAGTTTAAAATTTTAGTATTATTGGATTTTTAAAATAATACTGCTTCAATAAACCAGGCATAGGTTCTTAACCTTTCTACTGGATTTTCTTCTTTGTGGTAATGCTTAATATCTAAGAACTGCCTATTGTTTTTCAGCAATACAGATATCAAAAATGACAAAACCGGGAACCAGCAGTTAGCGTAATGGCTATGTCGCTGGACTCCCATGTAGTCGACCGCGGTTCGTGTCCCGGACCCGGTGGCTTAAAACTCACGCCGGGCGCGTGTGCGTACGTGCCCAAGATCCCGAGAGGAGAATGGAGGAGAAGGGATTGCGGCGTGACCATCCCCGCTGGGGGGTGATTTCTTGCTTTCTGTCTCTATGTCTCTCTCTGTCTGTCTGGCAAGTGCACGTGCCCTATAGCGGAAAAAAAAAAAAAATAAAAAAAATAAAACCTCTCCAAAAATGACAAAACCAATGTCTATTAAGTGGTAGAGGTATGCCTGATTGGAGCAAGTTTTAAAAAGAATAGCAGAAAATTAAGTACTCTTAAATTATTTGGAAAGGAATTTATAGAGAAAACATATCTAGACAGAATTTGTTTTTGCTATAGGACGTATGTATGTGGTCGCTGGGGTGAGAGAGAGAGAGT